CACTCCTCACGACCTACTTAACGCTTGGCATCTGGTATGAGAAGGCTGCCATTATTACTGATGCCATCCCTGACAATGACGACGGATCAGGCGTTGAGCAAGCACGATACCAACTGTTTGCGTCAATCAACCTTTTTGTCTCGGTGTGCACAGTGATAATCCAGCTGGTTGTGTTCCCACATGCGTTGAGAGGCATCGGTGTCACTGGCGCTCTGCTCGTTTTGCCCTCCTCCCTCTTGGCCAGCTTCATTCCGCTGCTCATCCGGCCATCGGTCTACACCATCGCTCTTGTTGACGCCGCCCGAAGGGTGACTCATTATTCACTTAACAAGCCCACCAAGGAGGGCTTGTATGCGGCAATGTCACCCGAGGTCCAGTTTGTCGCAAAGCCGCTGCTCGACACGTTCGTCTACCGTGGCGGCTACCTGCTTTGTTCGGGCGTCTTTGCGGTGGAGCTGCAGTGGCAAGTCGCCCCAGGCGTGCGTCGAGCACTGCTGGTGGCCGTGTCTCTCGCCCTTTGCGGTAACAGCTACGTCCTTGGCCAGTTGGCGGAGCGTGAGGGCGCGGACCGCTCGCAGGGGCGGCTATTGTGAGAATGCGTAGACGAGGTCATGACACATGCGACACGCTCTCGTCCGGCCTCGCGGCCAGCGAGTTCGCCACACGTAAGTAATGCTGTTCTGCTCTAGGTGACGTATGTCAGAATGTGTGTCCAGCCAAGCTGGCTGAGTGTCTTGTCTGTGGCTCAATGCTCGTCCCAGCCGGTCGGGCCTGGGCCACCCCCGCCCTCGAACACGAGGTGTGTCGAGGTGTGTCGAGCGGTGTCGAGGTGGCGGGGTCGAGTGTGGCACCCCTTGACAACGCGCAACGCGTGGGGTTCGTCTGATGGTGTCGAGGGGTGTCGAGGGGTGTTCAGGGTGTCGAGTGGCGGGGAGGTGTCGAGTGTGTCGAGCTTGTCGAGGTTTGGTCGAGGTGTCGAGGCCAAGGCTCAGGGCGGGGTGTGCGCAGCGGCGGGGGTGCTTTGCCCTATTCGGCTAGTGTGCGTGATAGTTTACACCCAGAGCGGGCGCTGTTGCGCGCCGCACGTTCAAACATACAGAGGTCCATGTCTTGTGCATGCGGGGCAGGCCGCCTGTCACTCCTCGCAAGGCAAGCACGGCGCGTCTGCCGGATCGTGTTCGTGATCGAAACTGAGGTGGAGCCCCTTCTCCCGGCCGCCATTCTTCCCGCCTGCGATCGCGGCTCGGGCCGCCGCCTTTGCGGCGGCGGCGGCGGCCGCCGCCTCGTCGTCCGCCGCCTTGCGGCCGACCGTCTGGTTGAGCTCCTCCCAGGACTTGACCTGCTTGTCGCCCGCGTAGTAGCCGGCGTACATCTTGGCGTCGATCTCCACCTTTGCGTCGGCGGGGAT